CAGAATTTGAATCTTCATGTTTCTATCTTGTTTATTGAAATTTGCATTTGGTATTGTGGGATGCAATGTAACATGCCATTTCAAATTTCAATAGCAGAACAGATTATTATTATTATTTGATTGGATTATCTTAATGGTGAAATGAAAGAATCTACCTTCCATAAAATCTAAAGTTATAGTAAATATACGAGTTTAATTTAGTCAGCCCTTCCTTGCCCCATACCATAATTGAACAGGTCTTTCCTATTTTCTGTTGAATCATTGCCAAATAAGCCTCCCCCCCTTCTTTCCCATCCCAAAATCACATCTCCCCATGGCTGATGCATGAAATGTCAGGCAGGACCTTAGCAGCAGACGCATGCATTCCAAATAACACCAGATGGATTTTTATATTAGCTACTAATTCATGTTCAAGGCACAGCAACCATACTGCGTTTTTTTTAAAGAAAAAAAGAAAAGAAAAGAAAAAGCAAGCCTCGGCGCCTCTGCCACACTTGCTTCGGCAAGATTAATTCTGCAAAATTAATTGGGACAAGATTGAGAAGGAAATTAAAATGCAGCTGAGTGAACAAGTTTTTCAAACACCTTTTTCTCTTCTTCTCCCAGCCCACTTGCTTGCCACTCTCAGCAACCCTCCCAAGCTTTATTTTACCTCTACTTCTTCAATAATTATAGGTGAGCACTATTGCCTCATAAAATCATTTTTGAAAGAAAAACACTCATGAGCACTTGGATATTCCCAAGGAAGATGTGATGGAGCTCCATGCAAAGAAATTAAAACCAGGTCATATTCTTGGGTGGTAAGGGAAGAAAAGCAGGAAGGCAACATTTACTAGTCTAGGTCATATTACATGAAGCAATGTCTACTTCTCAACCATGGCAACTTCAACTCCCATAATTTTGCAGTCAGTGTGTCAAAGTCCACCATCCTAAATTTGCCAAGGTTGAGAAACACTGATCTACATGATAAAAATGTCTTCCTTGGAGCATTAAATTGAAAGACAAGTTAATATTATAAAGATTAAATATGGAAGGGTTTAAGAATGCATTTTGAGATGGCATATTCTTGAAAGCATGTTTTGAATACAAGATGATCCTATATTATTAGAAAGCTATCACTTCATTATTTGAAAAAGTTCATCCTCTGAAATTGTAAGAACTGGAAAATTGTTAAAGTATTTCCAATAAGTAGTTGCATGGAACTCAAAGAATAAGAAGCATTCATATTGATATTAATGAAGTAAAATATGCCTCTGAATTAAAATGCCCTTGTTCCTCACAAAGAATTAGAGAGAAAGAATTTTGTCCTCTGTTACAAGATTTTCAATAAATCTTAAATGATCTCCCTATTTTAAAATTAAGTTACTTTGGGAAACTATCCTTTTGATTTTTAAAAAAATGTGTTTCCAAAATATATATTTTTCTTCAAGAAAAAAAGATCAAAAGTCATTGCCAACTGTAGCTTCTGGGTGAAATTCCACATTTGCACGTGAGCAACTTCCTGTAACGTATTATAGAGAAATTTTGGGTTATGTGATATGGATTTTTTTGAGTGAGGTGGTATATGCTGTAAAATTTCATCAAACTATAATGCATTAATGTCTCCTGGACAACCTGCAATGTAAGGGACAGCATGTAAAGAACAAAGAAGTACAACTATACTGTTGCATTTTTAATTTTTGATGCCACTGTTCTAGCACTCAGAATGGTGGGTATCTTTATACATTGTAACATAGTTATTGGCCTGCTGTTATGGATTGTGTAGATCAGTGGTTCTCAACCTGTGGGTTGGGACCCCATTTGGGGTCGAATGACCATTTCACGGGGGTCGCCAAACAACGCAGTCCGCCATTTTTTTCCCCTTTTGCTTAGCCATGCTACTCCCTTTTATTCTATTGGCTTTTGAAAGCCAATAGAATAGACTCTCTTGAATAGAGTCTAATTCTATTGGCTTTCAAAAGCCAATAGGAATTGTCCAGGCTGTCTCTGCCCTGCTGAGCCCGCCAAAAGTCCCATTCTGCAAATGGTGCTGCACCAGTTGAGTAGTCCTCGACTTACGACCGGTTGAGTAGTCCTCGATTTACGACTGGTTGGGGGGTCACGGCATTAAAAAGGTTGAGAACCACTGGTGTAGATTAAAATAGAATTGTATTGTAGAATGTTTATATTTTTTTTACTATTTTTATGAAGGATTCTCCAAGGCCTAAACAATATTTCAAGGGTTTCTCCAAGATTGAGAAAGACTATAGAGAAATGTCCTATGGCCAAGTTTTTGCAAGTACATGGGGGGAAAGCAAATCTCAGTTTTTCATTTCCTTGTTTTTCTTCATAACCAAATGTTGTGAAATATACTACATAGTACAAAGAATGGAAAGTAGAATAAGCTTTTGAATGATTACAGAAGTTGGATCATTCTATTGTTTAGCATATCACTTTGTTTTTCCCCATTCCCAGCAAAATACAAGTCAACATATTATACAATAAAAGTCTCAGAAAGTGTACAAAATAAGAAAAAAGAAGCCTATATAAACTTTGCATTTCAATTTTAGCATAGGAGATGTATAAACCAATTGCCTTGATAGTGCTATGTAACCACATGGCTGAACTGAAATTTGTTTCAAATTATTATTCTCATAAATGCGACATCTTTAAGGTGCTAGCAAGTGCTGATCTACATTGCAGTGTTAGAAAGGGCTTGAAGAAAACAGCCTAGACCAGGGATAGGCAATCTTGGCTCTTTTATGACTCGTGGACTTCAACTCCCAGGCTGGCTCAGGCATTCTGGGAGTTGAAGTACACAAGTCATAAAAGAGCCAAGGTTGCCTACCCCTGGCCTAGACTGTGGTAGTAATATATTTGTATCTTCATGAACTGACCTTCAAGACCAATTCTAAATCATTAGGACCCAAAAAGATTTAACTCTTCCTCAGTACAGAAATAGGTCTCTCTTATGTAGACTCATCTCTGAAGTTCCCATCCTTTTCTTTCATTGCTCTGATATGAGTAATTATCTAGCAAGTCAGGTTTTTGTCATATGATATGCAGCTTCTTGGAACTAGATCTTTACTTAAGGCACTTTCTTCATTTGCATATCTGTGGCAAAGAAAGTACTTCATATTCCCACCAATTCTTCATCTTCCATTTCTGCAGTTTTTTGTTCCTATCTCACATCCCACCAAGCAGCTCAATTAACTTTGTGATTCTTGAGTGATTAAATACATGCTCAGCCTGTTATAGAGACAAACTGTAGCCAGGTATATTTACATGAAAGGATTTCCAGGAACAAATTTCTGGAGTAGAGAGGGAGATTTGGGTGTAGAAAGAAGAACAAAGACATGGGTGTTTTTATTACATAGATCAGTAGTTTTCAATGTATTCTAGTTTCAGAAAATTTCCATAGATTATTGAGAGTCCATAACAGGACTCATCTGTACTGCAGATATTACTCATTTTTACATATTTTACAACACCCTCATGGGAGAAAACCACTAGCTGCAGTCAAATAAGGTTGCTTCCCAGAACATAGTTTTCCTTTTTGACATCCTTCTTACATTGACAACCTAGCCACTGATGAATATATTCCACAAACTACATGTGTTCTCTTTCATACTTCCCTTTCTTCAACATCCTAAATGCACTATTTATTTAAAGATTTTAAAACAAGACAATAGAAAAACCAGCTACCTCTTTCTCTCCTGCCATACTAAACTCTATCATTTTGTAACTGCTTGAGACTGCTCACCTTCCCCTCCACTGGAGTCCACATCTGTTTAGAGCTCAAAATGATAATTGCACAGTTTTGTTTCCGCAGCAAGTTTATTAGCAAAGCTAATAAATTAGAATATTTTAGAAGAATATTATGGGCAGCTGATGCAATATTTATACCATCCAAAAATTATTGGAATTATCTCAGGAACTTTAAAATTAAATTGCATCACAGTTTGACTGCTTGTTCAGAACAGCTGAAATCACAACCTGCTCTCCTATAGTTTGGATATGCCCTTATTTATCTTTTCTTTTTGTTTTTGGGATATTTGGTATATGGTAAAACTGCTGTAGGTTCTGGGAGATTCCAACCTCCCTGCCCTGGGGGACGGTCCTGGTAACCCAAATATTTGGCACACAGTAATATAGGACTTCAGAGATGTTGAGATGCTACTGGAAGATAGAGGACATAGGTATTTTCCTCTGCCACTTTCTTTTCAAATTACAGATGAGGCTGCCTTGAACTTCTGCAACTTGCTGCTAATAAATATTGATGCATTTCTTTAACATTGTCCCAGTAATTACTCATGGAATAATAGTGTTCCCAACTAAAGAGTTGGTATATAATCTAGAAGTCCTTCAGCTGAATTAGCAGGTGGAAATAGTGGCAAGGGGGGGGGGAGAGTTTGCTCAGCTCTAGCTGCTGCATCATTAACACCCCTACTTTAATCAAGATGACTCATGCCCTGATTATCACAGCTAGATACTATAATGTATTCTATATAGGACTGCCTCTAGAGATGGTTCCAAATGTGGTGGCAAAACTCCTGAAGGGACAAATCAATTAGCACAAAGTTCACTGTATTCACTATATTCTGTGTATTCACTGAAATGGCTCCTGATTGGCTTTCAGGCTTAATTCAAAGTGCTTATCATATTTTTTAGGATCTTCATATCACCGCTTCATATTACATCAGGCAACATCTGACCAGTATGAACAACTCTGTGAGGGTTGAGAGGGTTGGGTCTCATCAAAGGCCTCCTCAATGATGGTTCTAACTTTCTGGAAGTGAAAATGGAGTGCATCTTTGCTAGTATTTATAAAGGCAATTAAAATCAGGTATTCTGGTAGGCATTCAGCTCCTAATTTGTCCCGGTGTTTTTCTTTAGAGTTATTTGTTTGGAAATCATGTTATGATTTTAATTATGTATACTGGTTATTTGCCTCCCAGACTCCTAGTTGATTTCAACAGCTTATAAATAAGACAAATAAATACATAAATAATAGTATTTACCTTGCTAATGATGTATATCAAATCTCCCCTTTGGAAGGAAAGTTCATCTTGGTGGCCCCCAGTGCAGTCCCACAGACTTTGATAATAATTTGCGTAACGTCTTATGAATCCTAAGAGAGAAATTTCATTGCAAAAGTTCTCAAACAGTCTTTGAATATCATTCAAGGGATTGACAGAAATATTGCAATACAATTGAAAGCATTTGTTTAAAAGACACACACATGTTATAATCCTCGATTAACAACCACAATTGAGCCCAATTTCCATTGCTAAGAAAGATAGTTAAGTGAATTTTTCTCCATTTTATGATCTTTCTTGACACAATTTTTAAAAGAATCATTGCAGTTGTTAAATTAGTAACATAGTTATTAAATGAATCTGGCTTCCCCATTGACTTTGCTTATCAGAAAGTTGCAAAAGGTGATCACGTGAGCCTAGGAGACTGTGACTGTCATAAATACATTCCAGTTGCTAACCATCTGAATTTTGATCACATGACTATAGGGATGCTGCAGTGGTTCTAAGTGTGAAAAATGATTTACGTAACTTTTATATATAAGTCACACACATACATACACACACATGATTGATAGTGAAGATCAAGGTTATTCTAAGATATTTTTTAAAAAATGTACGATGTGTGATAAGAATACATGAATGAAAATAGTTTTCTCTTGAACTCTAGGCAAGAATATTAAATATGGGTCTCAAAATACCAGTAGTTCCCAACCTTTTCTATACCCCGCTCCCCTAGAATGCTTCTGATATATTCTCGCATCACTTACAAAAGTTCAAAATAACAGTAGCAAATTATGCATATACACTATAATTTTGAAAACCCAAATTTTCGTACCCCCTGGAATATTGTCTTACACCCCTGGTTGAGAACCCCTGCAATATACCAATAGATATTTTTCCACAGCAAGATTATTGAAATTATATACATGTGCCCATCTCTATTTATCAGATTCTGTCCACAAGTTTTCAAGTTTATCTATTCCATAAGGTTAGGAAACTCTTTTAAGAACTTTTACAGTTCTCAGAATAATGAATTGTACTTACTTAATATCAAATATATACTATCATGAATTGATAGTTTTCAGGATTGTTTTTTTTTGGCATGCTAGTGATATTTATATGATTATATATCTATGCAAGATTCCATCTTAACTGTTCTTCTTAAAATTTAGGGTTTAGATACAACAGATAAAAGTTTGTGAACCCTTTTGAATTTCAATATTCCTGTAAAAATATTACTTATAACATGATGCGTTTTCCACCCTAGTCTTAAAACTAGATAATGAGAAACCAAATAAACAAATGAGCCATTACACTTGTTCATTTATTTATTGTGGAAATCAAGGTATGTTAAATCTTTCTGGGTGGCAAAATCATGTGAATCTTTGCTTTCAGTAATTGGCATCTCCCCTCCCCCACAGCAGCTCCTCCACAGCAGCAGTAATTGCTTCTAATAATGGTTGATCAGTCCTGTACTTTCCCTTGGAGGAACATGGGCCTATTCCTTCTTTCAGAAAAACCGAAGCTTGCTGGTGGGCTTCCTTGTATGAACTGCCTCTTTCAGCTTTTCAACAGCATTTCTATAGGATTAAGGTCAGGAGTTTGACTTGGCCATTCCGAAAATTAATTTTCTTCTGCTTCTTTGGTTATATGATTTGTGTGACTGGGCTCATTGTCTTGCTGCATAATACATTTTCTCTTGAGCTTCACTCCTAGACAGATATCCTGATATTTTCCTGTTGACTTTGCTGGTATAATTAAAAATTTATAACTTTATCAATGTTGGCAAGCTGTCCTGGTCCAGAAACAATGAAGCTGCCCAAAACCATGATACTGCCACCACCATGTTTGCCTTTTGCCAAAAAACACTTATTATTCAAGTCCAAAAGTTCTAATTTGGTCTTATATATCCATAGAATATTCTTCCAATAGCCTTCTGGCTCTTTTGCAAACTGTAAATGGCCAGTCATGTTGTTTTTGGAGAGTAGTGGCTTTCTCCTTGCATCTATGCCATATATACCATTGTAATTCAGGATTTTCTTGATGGTGATGTCATGAAAACTGATATTCACTAATGCAGTGGTTCTCAACCTGTGGGTTGGGACCCCATTTGGGGTCAAACGACCATTTCACGAGAGTCGCCAAACAATGCAGTCCACCATTTTTTCCCCCTTTTCCTTAGCTGTGCTACTCCCTTTTATTCTATTGGCTTTTGAAAGCCAATAGAATAGACTCTCTTGAATAGAGTCTAATTCTATTGGCTTTCAAAAGCCAATAGGAATTGTCCAGGCTGTCTCTGCCCTGCTGAGCCCGCCAAAAGTCCCATTCTGCAAACGGTGCTGCACCAGTTGAGTAGTCCTCAACTTACGACCGGTTGAGTAGTCCTCGACTTACGACCAGTTGGGGGTCGCGGCATTAAAAAGGTTGAGAACCACTGCACTAATGTAAGGGAAGCCTTTAGTTTCTTAAACATTAGTCAGGATTTTTTGAAATCTTCCAGAGTATTACATGGTTTGCTCTTGGTGTGAATCAGAATAGAGCTGGAATCAGAATAGAGCTGGAAGGGACCTTGGAGGTCTTCTAATCCAGCCTCCTGCTCAAGCAGGAGAGCCTATACTATATCAGATAAATGAATGTCCAGTCTCTTCTTAAAAACCTCCAGTGATGAAGCATCAACAACATCTAAAGGCAAGCTGTTCCAATCGTTAATTGTCCTCACTGTTCGAAAGTTTCTCCTTAATTCCAGGTTGCTTCTCTTCTTGATAATTTCCATTCATTGTTTCTTGTCCTGACCTTGGATGCTTTGGAAAATAAATTGCCCCCCTTCTCTTTGTGGCAGCCCCTCAAATACTGGAATACTGCTGTCATGTCGCCCCAGTCCTTCTTTTCTCTAGACTGGCCAAACCTAAACCCTGCAACCATATGTTTTAGTCTCCAGACCTTTTATCATCTTAGTTGCTCTTCTTTGCACTTTTCCAAAGTCTCAACATCTTTTTTGTAATGTGGTGACCAAAACTAGATGCAGCATTCCAGGTGTGGTCTTACAAAGGATTTATAAAGTGGTACTAATACTTAACGTGATTTTGATTCTATGCCTCTGTTTATACAACCAAAGACTGTAATAGCTTTTTTGGCTACTTCCGCATACTGCTGACTCATGTTTAAGTGATTGTCCACTAGGAATCAAGGTCCCTTTCACAATTACTGTTTTTGAGCCAGGTTTTGCCTAATTTGTACTTGTATCTTTGGTTTTTCTTGCCCAGGTGTAAAATCTTGTTTTTCTCCACATTAAATTTTATTTTGTTGGATAGGGTCCAATACTCAAATCTGTCCAGATCTTTTTGGATCCTGAGCTTGTCTTCTGGGGTTTTGGCTATTCCTGCCAGATTAGTGTCATCTGCAAATTTGATGGGTTCGCCTTCTATTCCCTCATCTAAGTCATTTATGAAGATATTGAAGAATACTGAGCCTAAGACAGAACCTTGTTGTACTCCATTGCTTACTTCCATCCATGTAGATGTAGTATCATTAAGGACTACTCATTGAGTATGATTTGTCAGCCAGTTACATATCCATCTGGGAGTGAGGCTGTCTATCCCACATTTTTTGGGGGAAAGTCCTTAGAAATTTATTTAGTTCAAACCATGACACTCTTCTACATATTTATATTGTGAAGATCAGATTGACAGTGAATCCAGAATTTTGTTCTTTAAATAATGCAGGACCTCCCTTGATTGAAACATTTAATTTTAATTTTCTCTTCAAATGAACTGATAATCTTAGAGGTTTATATACTTTAGCCATACCCAAATAGGTAGCTTTAGATCATCTCCTCAATAAATAAATGGACAAGTACAATATTTTGATTCATCTGCTTAATTGGATTGTCTTTAGTTTTAGGATTTGTGTGAAAACAGATCATATTTTTGATCATATTCAAAATTCAAAGGGTTCACAAATTTTTAAGCATCACTGTAAATGTCCAGTGAAGCCACGACATAGGGGAAGACAGAAGGAACATTACCATTTTGAATGGGAAGAAATAGACATCATAATAAGAAAATGTTTAGATGAATAAGACCACTTATACATTATCATAATATGCAAGAAAGATTTGTGGAGATGGTGCTCGACAGATAGAACACAAATCTTGATAATAGTTGAAAAGAAAATATATCTGCTTCTTTTGTGTGATATAAAAGAGCTCATTCAGGTAGTCTCATTTAGTGACAGCCTCATTCAATAACCATGATGAAAAAATAACCTTATGACCAATCCTCCCATTTATGACCTTCACAGATCTGTAGAGCAAAGGAAAGCTGAAGTAAGATCATAAGCATAGTCACAGTTTCACTTAGCAATCATTTGTTTAATGATTAAACAATTCCAATATGGTCACCAAATGAGGACTACCTGTACTCAAAAACAAGTAAAGGTGCGCTATTACTCAGGTCACATCATTTTTGATCTACAGCAAGAAATAAGCATAGGCCATAATAATAAGCCACACATTGGTTTGATTTTGGTTTCCAGATGATTATGCAACATAGAATTAAATGTGCAGCCTAATAAGATAATAGCATATCTCCAAAATGAGTTCTCTGCTATTCTATATCATATAATTGCCACAACTGCTAGATTGTCTAAGATATTTTGACTCCACCCTGAAGGTTCGTTCTTAATTGAGTCATTCCCAAATATAATATTCCCATGCCAATCATTGCTAATATAGTTATGAATAAAAAAACAGAGGGCATTAATTTTATCCCAATATAAATGGAGATGAATGATTTAGAATGGCTGGGGGCACATATTGTAGCATAGAGGTGTATATATACCAGTTCCTAATTCAGGCATCTTATACACAGTTATCAGAATGTCTGAGAGGAATAAGAAAAACAAAATGATTATAATAATTTACTTATATAGTGTCCTTCCCTTCACTTACTGTGATTTATGAATATATAGTAAAAACAATAAAAGCATATTAGAAACCATTATAGTCATTTTTAAAGCAATGTTAGAAAGAAGGAAAAAGCTAATCCAACATTGTATTGTTTATTTTAAGGAAAAATAATTCTTCATAGAATAT